ACGAATTGTAAGCTCACTTTCTGTACTACTAATTCAAATGCATGATTTAGCAAGTTGATCAGTGGACATTGATGACTTTTCTCAGCAAGGTTCACTCCAAACAACCTTCGATCACCATCGTTTATGGTGAAAGATGCGGAGAGCAACACAGATGCTGCCTTCTCATTGTATCCCAAATTTCATCAGCGGGTCAATACCAGGGTCATCCCACTTAGTAACTGGTTGATACATGTTAATGTTATATATATATGATATATGATATACAATATATAATATATGATATGTAGTATATATAATATATATTTATACATTAAATTATATTAATATATTATTATTATATATATATACATATATATTGATATGTAATAGATAATATAAAATAACCCTGTTACAAAGTCCCCTAGATTCTCCCGTGAAAAAAAGCGGCGAAGAGTTACGCCTCAGTTACGACTCACCTCCAAGCCACGTTAGAACTGCCAGATGGACAATACACTAACAAACGATAAACCATTAGGCGCATTTCACCATATTTTTTCATATCACATATATACACTGTATTATATATGTATGTATATATGTGTATATATAACATATCACATAATTATATTAATATGTATATTGTATACAACATATATTCTCCCTCTCTCTATCTCTCTCTCTCTCTCTCCCTATATATATATATACATATATATGTGTACATTGGCATATTTAGGGGAACGCACCGCTTGACATCCCCCAAAAAGCCAAGCCGCCTAGCGTCGTAAAAAAAGCCGCGCCAGCACATCCCGGAAAACCTTCGACAATGTCCTGGCAGCTTGTCGCCCATGTTCCTCAAGGTGGTGTGGGGTTGGACCTGTGGCGTCGAGTCAACTGCTGGAAGTCCTATAATGTGGTTAAACCAATAATAAACCACCCCCAAAATCACCATAAATAGGTTGATTAGGTTGTGTAAACCATTCCCAAATGGCTGGTTGATTGTTTTACCCACGTTAGACAAAAAGTGAAGGAATGGGATGGAAAGATGGAAACGTATGGAAACATGGATGGGAATAGATGGAACATGAGTCTGGAGACAACAGTGGAGCGTACCAGACACGAGAATACGATACAAAATGTGTGTTTGCGATCAGAATGATATCCAAGTGTGTTTTTCAATCCAATGTATTTGGAGGTTCCAAAAAAAAACGGGGGGACCCCTCATCATCCGTTTTAATATAAGAGTTTCAATGGATTGTCCATTATAATCCTGGTTGGTGGTTTGGAACATTTTATATTTTTCCATATATTGGGAACAATAATCCCATTTGACTAATATTTTTCAGAGGGGTTGAAACCACCAACCAGAAACTATCCATGTTGGGGGACCCCCATTGTGGAAACCATGGAAACCAGCCGCATAAACTATCTCTTCGCAGTTCACAGCATCACCGTTGGCAGATCTACAAAGACTTCTACAACCACTACAGCGGGTACATTCAACGCCTCCCACGAGGATTTTCTTTGGAAGGTTTGGTAGGTGATATCCCTGGTTACAAGTGGGACAAGTAGGTTAATCATTGTTAATCCGCTAAATATAAGCTACTTAAGTGGGATGAACCACCAAGTATTGCGGCACAGATTTGAACGGAGCCGTGCTCAGATTTGCAGCAAGCCGCATGAGAATCTTTCAGGAATGGTGATTGAATTATTAGCATCCTCGCAGCAAAACTGACTCCTGAGGAAACTGTCATTTTTGCTCTGGCTCAAACAATAGTGCAGAAGCAAAGTCATTTGCCGAACAAAAAGTTATTTGCAGGCGTTTGCCAGGCTTTCCCACCTCATTTCTTTCTGTTTCTATTATAAGGAAGTTTTTTCAAGTCCAGACTTTGCGTCACGGTATATGGTGCAACCAGTCCAGAGGGAACCCACCAGATTTGTGGCGCAAGAAGAGTGACACTTTCAACGCAGGAGGGAGCGATTAGGAGCTACGGTTGTATCATGTTGTATCCATATTCAACATTAGATCTATTATATATATAAATGGAGAGCCAAGGAGCTGCAATCGGAGCTTCCCAACCACATGATGCTTTGCGCATCACTTCCATGCAATCCAAGTGGCTGAATGTTGACATGGCGTGATGGAGAAGGATGGCCAAGAAACTCAGGACAGCGACACCGCAGTGACTGCTGTCCTGAGTTCAACAAAATCAATCGAAATGGGTTGCTGAAGCCTGAAATGACATGAAATGACCACACCTATGGTTTCTTCATTGTTACCCCCATTTATAGATATTTATAGTGGCCATGGCCGCCCATTGCTGACTCCAGGAAAAAACGTTTGCTGAAGAGCAAAAAGACCAAAGTGTCTGACATCTCGCATTTGCCAGGTGAGATAAGGATGTGGGACGCCAGAAAGCTTGCATTTGTATGCCTTTGTTCCATTGGCCAAAATGTGTGCATCCGTGTATCCGAAAGCAAAGCCAAATGTTTGTTCTCGTGAACTACTGTAAAGAATACTAATTTGATCTAATTTGTGGCTGTGATTTCGGGGCCAAATTTGAAACCCTGTGCTTTGCCCCATTGGCAGGTGATCCCCTAAAGCGGCAAGCAGCCGAAGCAATCCTGCAAGCAATTGATGAAGAAGGTGGCTTTTGAAGGGTTTCTTTGTTGCAGCTGGGAACATTTTCGAGCTTGATGAATAGCTACAGTATCCTATCTGGTTGGTGGTTTCAAACATTTTTTATTTTTCCATAATGTATGGGATAATCCTTCCCATTGACTTTCATATTTTTCAAGATGGTTAAAAACCACCAACCAGCTAGAGTTGTTGTTATAAGCCTTCTCTCTTCGTTGTAGGTGTGCTGCTGGAGTGCTTACCCTCGTGGCATCGGCGATTCAAACCCAAGCTGGGACGTTTCAGGAAGCCCCTCCGGTTTGAACGGGATGGCACGGGATACCCCCAAATAGCCATTCTTTTGATAGGGACATATAGGAACATGAGCTATTTGGGGGTATCCCATATATGGCCCATGATTGTGGCTATTCTAAACCACATTTTTTTTGCTACTATTTTCAGAAAGCCACAAAAAAATGGGCATGGGTAAACGCTGGAAGATGGCCCTGAAGTTACATGACGATGCTGAAATGATGTGTCACAAATACAGAAACCTATTGCACACACACAGCCTCAAATTGGATAATTCAATGCCCAAAATAGCCACAACCTCTGGTTTTTGTGGTAAGGACCAATACCCGGATTTGCCTTGTGGTTCAACATCAGGCCTACGAATTTGAGACGATTGAATACCTGGGTTGGTCTTTTTGAAAGGGTCCCCAACATCTCAATGGTCGATTCTCATTTCTTCCGTTGAAATTGTGATTTTGGGATTTTTCAGATATTCTGGTATTCCAAATATTTAATCTGTTTTAGACAAACCCAAGTAGTTTTGGGAAAATTTGAGAAACTTGTTTGGATCTTATGCCATTTAAGCCTTGCCTTTGTTTGTAACAGCCTAGGACTTCCAAGATTCCTTGACACAATGAGACATTGAGGCAGCTTGTTTGTTCTTGACGCACCAGACAAAATGGAGACCTACCCTATATATATATACACCAGTGTGTATATATAATATTATATAATTATATATATATCTCCTGGTACATATCTAGTGTACATCTATAGTACTCTTTTGACTGTATGTTGTATCTTCAGGTGATCGTGAGTCAGGCAGTTGTGTCGCTGATGTTCTGCCACACCGCTAAACATCTGAGGTTTCTTCAAACTCACCCGGAGCTCTTCCACATCACTGATATTCCTGGGGATTGTTTTGTAGCACCGGGCTCAGTATGAAATGAATTGAATCAATCTCAGACCAGCCCTTGATAAAGTTGGTCCTTATGTTGGTGGTTTGCAAGTGAAGAAAACAGCTGTCTCTGCCTCAAGCACCTTCTTTGTGGTTTGAGATCTCGAGAATTCATCAGAATTCTAGAATCGAATCCCTGCCAGCAACTCTAGAATTCAGTCTCGCCAAATGATTGCTTTGAAGTTTGCTCTTCAGGTTTGTCGTGCCAACAGAACTCCTCCCTCCTTTGCTCTGAAAGACCGTCGCCGCTGGCGTACAGCATTGAAAAGAGCCTGGTTCAGGTCAGGCTGGGAAGATGTTGGAAGAGGGAGGGGCTGCAAGAGGCTATGGATGGCTATGGTATGGGAACTTTTTCCGGCGTCAGTTTTTCATGTCGACTAAAATGTCGACTTCACTACTTCCATGCTTGGAATGAAAGCTACTAGGCCTGCTAGGCTGCTCCAGTGCCCAAACATCAGCACTGGTTCCCGGAATTGGATGCAGCGAAATGACGAGAACTGGGTGGTTATTCTTGTAAGTCATCTTCCCGTCCAACAAGTGGATGTGTGTGAAATGGTGGATACCCACCGAATGCAAGTTTAACAGGGAATTGGTGATTGAGCAACGGATTTCAGGATACAGTTGATTAAATCAAGCATACGGTATCCTATTTTCATGGAAATCCGCAAGGTGCCATGGGGTTTGACGCGAGAACTGCTTCAACGATGTAAAGCTCACTTCAATCCGAGGTACTGCAAAGAGGAGACTATGCCAAACCTTGAAGAGTTCAAACGCATCTGGGTGAAGGGAAGTGCGCGCAGTGACTGTCACTGTCGAGCAGAACAAGATGCAATTCGAGCTAGAGATACGACTGATATGACTTGTTGATTCACCGCAACATTAAGGTTTGTCTGAACATGGGATATGCCGAACCTACAAACTAGCAATTTTCAAAGGGAACATGATGATTAATCAGTGGGTTTAGGGGTACTTTATTTTCAAAGAAACCCATGATCTTTTTGTTGGCTCTCTAGGGGTGATCCCCAATAGCTTGAGGAGAGATACTGAGATGTAAGCTGCAGGTAAATTTACATCGTCATGCAACGACATTTGTTTGACAGAATTGCTGACACACGCACAGACACATACATATATATATATATACACTGTATATGTATACTACTGTATATGATATATATATATACACACCTATATTGACATATTGGCATTCACTGATCGCTGTACTGACACAATATATTTGATAGATGCCGACGAACCATTTGACATATATGTTGACTGACATTGGTAGCTACACGTTTGTTGGCGATAGTAGATGCTAACATGTTACTGTATCTATGTGCCATGTGCCATGATCTACGACTGGGTTTCTGTGAGGCTTGGCGGCTATGTTAGTGAGTAATTGGTTCACATCCACGTTTGTTTTAGTGTATCCCCATGAAACTCCCAGTTGAAATCGTCAACATGTGCAAAATCCCGTGAAATCTCACTGATCTCATTGAGTCATATCATTTTTCCACTCAAGTATCCCCAGATATCCCCAGTATCCCCATTAAATCACCACGTAAAACTACACCTTTGGGCATCGACTGTCCGACTGTCCTGGCCAAGGACACCTGCCAGTTGAGGCTCTGGAGCTTGGAGGTGCGCGGCGGAGATGCCATAGATCACCATCTTTGGGCGTTGACGAATTTTGACTCATCACCCATAGGAACCATGTATGGTATATATGGTAACATTTACCATCAATATACCCCAAATGTTAGCATATATACCATACATGGATCCTATGGGTGATGAATTCCAGATCTGAATTCATTTTCGCAAATCATGGTATAATTCAAATGGTATTGTGGTAAAGCCATGTAAAGCCCAGACTTCACCTATCATCATACTAATTCATTCTAGATTCTATAGATTTATGTGGTTGGATCCATAGATCTGCGTTGTTTGAAAACAGCGAGGTCAAACTGCAGTTCCAGAAGCTGTGGCGCAAGAGGTGGCCAAAAAACCCAGTTCCTTGGTAGAATCATCCCTACAGTAGGCGGCCGACGCTATAATTTAGATATGGTAATCTTAGATCCAAGATGATAAGTGGGTAACTGGTTGGTGGTTTTGAACATTTGTTATTTTTCCATATATATATATTGGGAATAATAACTCCAACTGACTAATACTTTTCAGAGGGGTTGAAACCACCAACCAGATGATCTAAGTGGGTAATACAACTATTAGTAATTGGATCTAAGATTACCCCCCCAAAAAAACACTGATAATTTAATCGATGATCATGATGATCTAAGTGGCTAATACATGGTAATACAACTCCGATGAAATCGACCCATTGGCAGACGTAGAATCTACAGCCCTTCACGCTGCTTGAGTCATGGCGAGGGATCCGTCGGCCGTTGAGACGCCGAAAAGGAAAGAGTTAGGAGGCACCCGGAGCAGATCAACAGAGTGGGGACATGTCGATGTCGATACGTTTGTCAGCAGCTCGCTGCACATCATGATCATCATGTTGCATGAAAGTTTGCACATGCGACAACATCTTTCACTTATTTGTGCTTGTGGGATTCCGTCTCTAAATTTTTGATGACCTTGGAATTGTGCTTTGCTATTGTTTAGCAATGCCTGCGGTAGCATGGTGGCTTTGTTTTTTTTGCCTTTCTTACTTTCTCTCTCTCTCTCTCTCGGAAGTTTTCACTCTGTTCTCGCAACCATTCGTTCGTGAACATTTTCGAGGGCGCATTAATCTGGTTGGTGGTTTGGAACATGAAATTTATGACTTTCCAATTGGGAATGTCATCATCCCAACTGACGAACTCATATTTTTCAGAGGGGTGGCTCAAACACCAACCAGTAATGGTCCTCGATTTAGGATGCCTTCACTGCGGTAGCAACGGAGAGCAAGGCCCAGGCCCAGTGACATGTTGGCACTGAATTGGTGGATTTGTTTACCAACATGATGTTTAATTAATTGATTTACCAATATATCAAGGAAACCATAGGAAAACAATGGAAAGCAATGGAAACCATATAATTTACTACCATTTATGAATAGGAAACCAGTGGCACTTCATTTTTTTGGTTCACCAACAACTTTCCAATTGATGTGTATCAACAATTTTCATGTAGTGATCCATAGATACCCATAGCCGCATACCATTGCAATGACAGCACTCCAGGCTGGACCAGGTTGGAGTGGACCACAGAGCTTCGAACGGCAGAGCTTTGCTACGACGTGACGCGACGTGACTGCTTGGAATTTGCCCGGCCAAGCAGCGTTGGCGCAGGGGCAGAGCCTATCGCCCTTTGAAGTGTCACATGGGAAATTTGGCGCGCGCCTCCGGCTCCCCAAGTTCTCTGTCCCTCACCTCTGTGCATACCATCGTGAATCCAATGACGATCTTGGGAGTCATGGTAAGCATCACGAAAAAAAGTCTACTCACCACCCAGTTTTGACACCCTGATTGAAACACCCTGTTGGCTTCGCAGGACTGGAAGCGGAGAGGTTGAATTTCCAGAGCGAAAGGGAACGGTGCCTCGCTGTATGGAGTCATATGGAGGGGAATGTACTGGAGCCACAGCAAACAGTGGAGCAAGAAATCGCATCATGGCAAGTTGGTTTCAGCATGTTTCAACATGTTTCAACATAATTCAACATCATATTCAAACATATTGAAATATCCTTTGGGAATTAAAGACGACGTGCTGGAGCTGCTGGAACATCCCCCATTTAGATCATTTAGTTCGATGATTTTCTCATTTAAGCGATTTAAGTGCCCCTTATTGATAGGCTATTTTCTGGGACTGATCATGATTTTAACATATTTGAACTTTTGATACGGATGTGGTACCAGCATGTACCAGCTATAAAAAAACGGCTCATAACTAGTTATGTCTTATGACATTCCCAGGATTTCTTTCGTTGAGGTATCCGTATCATCAGCAACATCAGCCGCGACCACCGATTGCGGACTGGGATGGGATCGCTGGAGGAATGGCCAGTGATGAAAAACATCCAAATATTCATCCAGTGTTGAGTGATTTTAGTGATGGCTTAAGACTTCCAACATAATAACATATAATAAATACCCTCAATTTTCCGTTGGAAGCTGGTTTTGTATGGCTTTGTCATAAATGATGGAAGTGGACCAGCCTAGGATTCAAGTCATGAGTCAAGTCATGAGGCGGTTCGAGTCTGTCAGGACCAGCACTGCTTTAACTTCCAGAGGCAGAAGGAATTGCGACCTGTCATGAAGTGAAGTGAGGCTGATGTGTGGCTTTTTGAATGTTCATTATCACCCTTAGAAGTTGGGATTGGGAGTGCCCCGTAAAACTATGATCATTGATGATCAATTCATCAAAAACTGGAACTGCACCCTCCAAGTAAGACGTCAAAGTCAAGGTCCCTGACCTAAAATTGGCCTAGCCTTTCCAAGGCGATACCAGCAGCAGCAGCCTCTTAGCTGCAGAATTTTCCGGAAAGCCGTGGCTTTAGATCTTGCCTTTTGTGCCTTCTCCATTTTGACCATATGATTCATATGATTGTATGTCCAAAAATGTATACAATACAAAACATTACAACACCATATTCCTACTAATATGACTAAAACTTGTACTCATTGTACTAATTGGCCTGCGTAACCGGGCTGTGAATCTCGTGCAGTGCTCTGCAATTCAGCTCTTCGGCTGAAATATCATTCATAGTCTGCCACTCTTCACCAAGCAAAGCTTTCAAAATAGTCATAGAATTCTCATACAATGTTAGTTAGACTCTAATATTAGTTAGTTACCCATACATTACCCATACCTTTCATTAGATATTCTCAGCCACTCGAATGTTAGACTTGTGCCGTTTCACCGTGAATCACCCTCCGATAACTGGCCACCACAGGTATGCCATCCGAGGCGCGGCTGGTTCTCGCCATGGGCACCATGCTTTCACCAACGGTGCCACCATGGCATAACGTGGGGTCCAACGACATGCTAAGCATGTCGAGTCAAGACAGCCATTTTGTGGAATATCAATGGATATCAATGGATATCAATGGAATATCAATGGAATATCAATGGATAATGGATATCAATGGATATCATGACTTTACGCAACATCTATCAACATCCATAACTTCGACTGGATATGAACAGCACGCAGGACGGCGCCCAGAGGCCGGAAATCGGGGACAGCTTTTCAGAAACAGCTGCGGTGCAGTTCAGGAGGTGATATCCCCACATATCCCAAGTTATGAGGGTTATTACATGTTATTACCCTGTACCCTGGTTATATAATGTTATAGTTATAGTTATAGATATAGTTATAGTTATAGTTATAGTTATATATATATATATACATATGGGTATAGTCTGATTAAGAGCTCTTTGCAGTGTTTGAGAACTTGTCATCTGATTGGGGGCTCATAAACCAGACTATCCCGATATATACATATATATATGCACATAATTATACATAATTATAACATATTATAATCTGAAACCACAATTATTAGTCAAAAAAAAGGGCGCCACTGATCACCGGCCGACAAGGAGATGGCCATGGCTACTGCCACTCTACCACAGCAGGTTCGCAGTGATTGCTGGGATACTTTCCTGATGTTTGTCCTTCCCAAAATGAAATGATGGCTTTGTGATACAAAGATAATTCAACATGCATCTTCATCCATTTTAGTCACCAAAAGGTTAAATCACTGTGAAACAGTTTACTGTATATATATATATACCCGTTTACCCGACCTCGTAGATGTTCAACATTTGGGTTTGTCTTAAACTAGGCTAGCACCAATTTGATGGTTGATAAATGATAATCATTTTCCGCCATTAAAATGGCAATTTCAGGTATTTACTATTCTCAGACAAAAGCATCTGTGCCATGGTCAAAACATAGGCTGGGATGATCACCATTCATCCCACATAACCCAGAGCCAGGCGCCACAGTCGCAGCAAGAACGCGACAGAAACATGGCGGAGAACAAACAGCAGGCCCTGGTTCTGCGGGACCAAGAACTGAGACTGCTAGTGTTGGGGTTTGAGGATCCAAATTGTGGCTTCAAATGATAACCCTTTGGTCATCAAACCTGGTGACAATCCGACATGCTTTTTCATTAAACCTACATGTAGAATTATAGTAATTTATAGTGGATTTCACATTGCCATTGTCTGATTACTGGAGGGTAACCCCCGAGACATTTGATGCTTCGATGTAAGAAGAAACCGCAAGTAACTTGTGGCTCCATTGGTGTAAAAAACTGTTTGTTTTTCATGCAAAATGAGGAAAGAAATACCAATAAGATCAGTGATGGTAGCCATTGATGGCCGGTTGGGCATTGCTGTAGCTACCAGCTGGTTGAGACCCTTGCGCCAGGCAGGACAGATCATGCAGAAGGTGGGGAAGAATGATCCATCTTCTGGCTTGGTACTGTGGAATTCCATGGAATTCCAGACATTGTTCAGTGAGATTCAGTGAGATTCAGTGAGACTCAGTGACAGAAGGCCCTAATCTTGAAAATGAATCTTCCATTCACAAAAGTCATCCACCCAGCCGCTTCGCAGCCAGATGCAAAGTCACATCGCCAGCTTGCAAGAGCAGCCATTGCGCTTGTCGTCTTTGATGGTCCCTTCCTGAGAGCCGTGATGATCCGCAGAAATCATCGATGTCCTGCAGAAAAAATGTGGATTCTGTATGGAATGATTGCAAAATCATACGGTATAAAATGTATGTAATTGGAACATTGGAATCCAATAGTATTGGCATTGGCATAATCCGGAATAATGGACTATATATATAATTATATATAATATAATATGATAAAATCGAATAAAATATGATATTATATAAAAAAATATAAAAAAAATATAATATGATATAATGTAATATGATATAATATATATAATATGATATAATATAATTAATATAAAATCATATAATATGATAAAATATAAAGTAATATGATATAATATAATAACATATCATATCATATCATATATATATGATATAATATAATACAATAAAATATAATATAATCAAATATAATATAATAAATTAAAATAAAATATAATATATAATAACATATAATATAATATAACATAATATAATATAATATAATATATAATAAAATATAATATTATAATAAAATATAGTATAATATAATATAATATGATATAATATAATATGATATAATATAATATGTAATATGTATATATATATATATGATAATATGTATATACATATGATAATATGTATATATATATATATATTATACGATATGATATGATATGATATGATATGATATGTGTATTTAGAAAATCTATATACGTATAGATTGGCTGTGAAGACAAATGCACATTGCTTTCACCATCGCGGGCCAGCCTTCAATCGCTGCAATGAATTATAGTCATCCCCCAAAAAAGTCAAACGACCACGGAAAATCAATGGGAAAATCAATGGGAAAATCAATGGGAAAATCAATAGGAAAATCAATGGGAAATCAATGAATCCTGAAATTCCTATACTTGGATGATCTTGGATGATGTACGAAATCCATGATTCTTGCGAATTTGTTTGGTCTTTTTTTTTTGTACAGATGCACTGTTTGGACTTTGATTCCTGTCTCGCAGAACATTAACCTGCCCTTGCACTGCACCGTGGTGGTCTCAGAGATTGCAGACTGAAACTGGAAGGTGGTAATGTGGTAAACCCAAGCATCTACATATGTATTTATATATATATACATACACTTTTATACACTATGTATATATATATATACAATATGTATATACACATATATGTATAATTATATATAATATACGGACTCATTGGGATATCATGGGAATTTGACGGGATAAATCTGATCTAACTAACAAAACTTGTGGTGTAATGATTATGAATTATCCAGCATAATCAACCATCCCAAATTTTACCAGAAATGGGTGATGTTTTTGGTGATGTTGTGTCATTCCGAGTCGGTTCAACAGGTTAAGTTACTGTAATGGTCAAGACATGTCAAGACCAGCCTGGTCTGAAAGATGAAAAAGAAAGGGCACCCCAAAGAATGACTATATCTGGTAGTTGGGAAACTCAGATTGTCCTTGGTGCCCCATTGAGCGAATATGGATACCCTTCGTGATCCCGATCGTTCCTTAGCTCCCTTGTGGTGTCCCATGCCGGCAATGACACTCCATGACACTTCGACCCACTATGGCTATATCTCAACAACAAAAAATATGCCAGATTGTTCATGTAGGCACATGAAAATTACATAGATCTTCTGGATGATCTAGCAGGATCATAAAATATATTAACATGAAGTGTATCACTCGTAGTTGCAGCTTGTGCAGCTACGAATGTTGATTCTTTCTGCTATGTCGCAACCAAGGATGACACATTGGAGGCCCTGGTACCGGGGTAGCTTTGAGCTGTCGGCCACATTGGAATGCTTTGATCCACCACCATGAAGGTAATGATATACACTATATATATATATGATATTTATATATAATTATTTTTCATACTCGCAATAATAGTCTTCCTCCTCCTCATCATCATCATCATCATCATCACCACCAGCAGAAGTAGTAGCATCATCAGCATCAGGATCAGCAACATCAGCTTCATCAGCAGCATTCCCTTCATGTTCGTTTTTTTTTTGCTTGGATCAGTGGGAATTTCAGGATCCTAAAATGGAGGTACTGTACCATATAAGGCCATATTTTGTTGGGATATTCCCTTACATAGGCCTTATATAGGCCTTATATATGGTCGGTACCTCCAATTTAGGTTCCTGAAAATCCCATTGATTGGAGAGCACTGGACAGCGAGGCAGTGGCAGCTTTGTGGAACATCGACAAAGTGCGAGTCTCAAACGGCTTGCCGCCGTAGCGAACATGGGGGCCACAAAGAGCATGGAGACGGTTCGATGTTTTTGGTCAAAGCAATAATTGATGTTAAGCCAGGACTGATAGACCCCTAGTTTATTCATAGGGGGACCAATTCTGTTGAGTAATTTGTCACTATGTGGGGGTTGCCTCCCAATCAATAGATGTCAATAGCTAGGGTTTACATCGACATGAATTGAAAATCGCTTAAGTCCCACAGAGTTTTCTGATGTTCTGTTTCTTGCACATAGCGAGAAGATTTCCCACAGGAGTAGAGACAGGGCTGTTCAGCTTCTCCACCTTCAGTGACAATTCCATCAAAGGCATTCAAGCAGATGCGATTCGGGTTTGTGGCCCGAAAAAAACTTGTGCTGCATTTTTGTCCCTGCCCTGAAACATCTTAAATCACCGTAAATGAAGCTGGTTTCTGAAATCAGATTCACGGTGGGATCCCTAATAATGGGGTGCTTGATTTTAGGAGGATGGGGTACTCTGTACTCCCAGGGCTGAAAATCTCTGGTTGCCGTTTTTCTTTCTTTGATATGTTTACGTATACAGCATATATATATATTGTTATAATTATGTGTTCTTCACTTTCAACCCTAGGATGATGATCCCAATTGACTAGAATTTTCCAGAGAGGTTGAAACTACCAACCAGATATTGCATTCACGGGCTACGGGGCGATTTTCTTTGCCAATGCTGTTTCGGAATCAACTGATGGTTTGAGAGCACGCTCTCTCCATTCCCTGTGAAAAATCTACTATATATATTATATATATATACCCTCTGGTTATTTAACATAGCCATGGAAAATCACCATTTTTAATAGGTAAACCATCTATAGATGGGCCATTTTCCATGGCTATGTGAAATAACCAGAGGGTAATATATTATCCTAGTGATATCTAGGGATTCAGATGCTATCAGATGCTATCAGATGCTTGATTTGGTCATTTGTTGCTTGGCACCGCAAGCCCATGAGGATCACGACTTGCGCAAGACCTTGCGGGGGGTTCGCCGCTGGGCGATGAACCTGCAGAACATGCCAGGTGCGGGGCGCTGCGCCCCGGGTCCCGGTAATGGGGGTAGATGAGTAACCTGTGGTTTCAAAAAGGTTGACATGTACCACCAATAGGAATTGAATGGAATTTATATTCTTGTAGTTTTTTTTTTGGAGTTTCTATACATAAAACGCGAGCCAGTTTGTATGGTTCAGTAAGCAATTTCTAGCACACACTTATCATCCATTTGAAGGTGATTTCCATCACTAGCTGATACTTGTTGATTGGGGATGATCCTGACATCTCCTGAATGCCGAATTCACCAACAGCTGGACCCGGAAGAACTCTCCATTCATCAATCTTTATTTGTGAAGTCCCTATTTCTGGTAGACTTTCAACGTCATCGGATTCCCTTCACCAAATATCACAAATCTTCGCCGAGAGCCTTGATGCCCAGCAGTGTTTGCAGGGAGTGAGGACACCTTCAGCAACATGGTGAAGCAAGTCTTCAAGATGCTGTCGACGCAATTCCACAAGGCCGGAGGCTGATCAACCATGGGATTTCATGAGGCTTTGGGCCACGAATGAGTGAGCAAAGGACAGCAGGATTGGTATCAACGAATCACCTCATTCCCTCCAAACATGTAAGGATTTTGGGCTCCGCAGCACTTTTTTCTCAGAAGGCGGAGTCCTGTCTCGTTTGGTCACCGAGTGGCGCTAGGTTTGCGTTAATGTGGCGCTACATGCCTACCTGTGAAATCCTGTGACGTAACATACTTACAGTCTAGTCATTCAGTTTTCTCTAGTCTGTGTAGCAATTTAAGTGAAGCTCAAGCCCGCTCCTCCCAATGCATATGGCTCCCAATGAGGTGCCTCCATGTAGTAGAGATGCTGTCTTAAACTCCATTGTTGCTTCAACTTTTCTTGGCGAGCGTCACAGACGTGATTCGTGTGAAGATAGGAGAGCGTTTCTTTCGCAGCAGCTGTATTGTAAACGTATCTCTGGCGGTAAATCTGCGCTCGGCGCGGCACAACCCTCTAAATCCGCACTTGCCCACTGGTTAGCTCACAGAACCTGAAATAACAGAAGCACTTGTTGCTTCAAATTTGGTAGCGCGACAAACAGCTGGTACCAGAACCTCTCCAGCTAATACGGCCGCGCGCTGGCTACCTTTGCCAAAAGAAACATCGAAATCGATCATTTACAACATTTTACAACTATAGATATGTATATATATATATATAATACCCCCAACTACTAAAGGGTTTGAAATGGTATACCCAGGGCTCTCCCGAGGGGGGGGTCTAGAATGGTATTTTTTCATGTTAGACCCCAACCCCCTGATGATCTCAGACCCCTCAACATAGGTTTTTATCATACTTCCCATAATCATAATAGACCCCAAAACTGATGATTCCAGACCCCCCACCGTTTAGGTCTAATATGATCAATCTCATTTTTGACAATTTGAGGGGGTGGTTTCACCCAAGACCCCTTTTTGGGGTCTGGAATCATTCCACCCCCCCCAAAACTTCCTCCCACATTTGGGGTCTAAAATCAAAAACGTAAAAGGGGGGGTTTACAAAAAAAATATTAGACCCTGCTACGTTATCTCACATAACTTGATGTAAATTTTAACGGGTTTCCTACGTTTTTGATTGTTTTCGTACGTTTTTTGATATAATTAGGATCTGTGTGATCTCAAAGTAGGCATTTTTGTTTGTGCATTATTTTTTTGGACATGCAATGTGTTTTTCAGACCCCACATAATGGACCAACAGGGCACATCATCGCACAACATGTTTTTTTTTCTGCGTTGCCTCGTCTTGTGGTCTTGTCTTGGAACTTTGCTCACCCAAAGCAATGTTCTGATTTTATCTAATTTTGGCATCTTGCCAAGGGTTGGCATGTTGCCAACTTTCACTATCTTTCCCTGATCTGCTCCAAGCTTTTCATGGAACACAGCATCAGCAAGGCGATGGCTCTAACTCTGCAGGTTCTCTTCGCAGCTCTTTGATAGAAAGAATAGAAACGAATCCTGAAAAAAAATGTATGAAATTATAGACGGCTATTCATTGTTATTCATGGCCAAGGCACCTCGCCACGACGCGCGAGTTATACCATTCAAACATGACAAAATGTAAGTACAATTCAACATATATAATATGACAAAATATTGCATCATTTCAAAACATGCAAGAAAAACAATGTAGAGCTCAAAAACAAGGCATAGGCTCACAACAGAGGGTCTAGGTTGGTCTTACTTGGAGGTTGAACCATTCTTTCAACAGCTGATGATGCAAAATACCATTTCAGACCCCCAATGAAACAAAAAAACTGAATTCCACAGCTCAACCCCTGGCATTTTCTGTTGGGACTTTCAACCTGGTGGGACAAAAACACATTAACAAAAAGGGTCGTATTTCAAGATTCACACACCATTCAATTGGACATCATTTCAAAATATGCAAGAAAAACCATGTAGAGCTCACAAATAGGGTATAGGCTCACAATAGAGGGTCTAGGTTGGTCGTACTTGGAGGTTGAACCATTCTTTCAACAGCTGATGATGCAAA